TGTAAGGATTAAAAACAATCCAGGGTACAATAAATGCAACGTTGGTGCTTTCTTTCAGTTTTCTTTCACCGGACACTTTGTGTAAAGAGGACCTGGGTTGCACTGGTCATGTTGGGTCACAGAATTATGCAGAGAAAGGCCAGTCAGCCATTGTACATACATTAAATTTTTGAAAATGCTGTCCCTTTAGTCTCACCCCTTGTTCATAAACCTGTACATTTCCCTCTCCATCTATTTATCCTTTTGGAAGTGATTATTGAACCAGCTTGCTTTGCCTCTTAGACAGTGTACAATATTTAATTTTAATTCTCATGATATCTCATTATTATTCTATAGGGATTAATAGTTACTCTGTCACCTTAACTGGAGCCCATTCTGAAATAATTTCAGGTACGTTTAGATTCTCCGCAAATAATGAGTTACTTTGTGAATATTCATTCACTCTTTGAAGATAAACTCTGTACATCCAGGCCTGTCACCATCATACTCCTTGCTAACTTCTCAAACAGCCAAACATCCAGGGAGCAGGTATAACTCTCATCCATTGTAGAGTGCTGCCCTATGTGAGGTGACTATGAAAATTCTGATTTATTGAAAGTGTTCCTTCCAGTCCTAAAGGAGATTGTGTCCTCTTGGCTTGAAAACACAATGTTCCTTGGGCAGCACTTACAATCCACATACCAATCTGTGAAAAACATCAGAGAGGCAGGTGATTCCATTGTTTAATAACCTCAAATCCACAGCAAATGCAAAAGGTTTGCTATTAATGATACTGAGATCCTTGAGCTGATAATCTCAGGATATTGATTACAGTGAGAAGAATACAAATTACCACATGCTCCAAAATTCACTTACAAATCAGACTGCGCTGCACCTGGAGTGTTTACAAAACAGAGAATCACAAACTCTAATGAAAGTTAAAAACACAAGCTTGAGAAACCAGGGTGACAGAGTGACCCACTGCTGGATCCTGTATGAAGTAATGGTCACTATGTTACACTTTCAAACTATGAGATTTCTGCTCTCATCACTAGTACTGCTCAGCCCCAGTGGAAAGATGGAGCTGCAGGATAATGACACAGGCCAGTGACAGAGCTGTCCAAGGTTCTGCCTTTTGGATGAAACATTAAACTGTTGCCCACTTAGGAAGACATTAAAAATGCAGTGACAATGTTTAAGGAAGGTTAGGGGAAATGAGTAGTAACCCCTCAAGCAACACCACTAAAATCTGGTTCATTGGTTTCATTGTTTACCTGTGCGATTTTACAGTATGCAAATTGGTTACCGCAGCTCCTACATGACAACACAGAAGGGTAATTCAAAGACACTTCATTGGTTGTAAACTGCTTTGGGATGTCACTGGGGTAGTGAAAAGTGCTATATAAATGCAGGCTCTTCCTTCTTTCTTCCTTTCATTGCTGGAGGACTACAATAGATAGTTGCTACAGTATGTTAAAAGACAATTAGCTGCCAGTCAAGTAATTTTATTCAAAACTTGTCCTGTCATGCTTGCACACTGACCTTAGACATGAAACACTTGTCCTTTTGGGTAGAAATTGGTCTTCGCTGAATTATGTCCACATTATGTTATGAGGAACATCACAAGTCACTGTACCAAGCACCAGGAACCCACTGTATTAGAAACCAGATTCAGGGCCATGGGCATTGCCTAGACCATAGGTGTTTAAAACATTAACTGATTAATTCTGTTACAATCATTGCAGTTATTAATATTCTATGAACACAATTCATTTAAATGACCACAAACCATCAAAGTAAAATGCTTATCTGAGTCCCAAGATTGATAAAAATTTATCAATCTTGGGACTCAGATAAGCATTTTCTCAGATAAGAAAGGAGTATGATGGTGACAGGCCTGGATGTACAGAGTTTATCCTCAAAGAGTGAATGAATATTCACAAAGTATCTCTTTATTTGCGGAGAATCTAAACATACCTGAAATTATTTCAGAATGCTAGCTGAGCTGAAGTTAAGGTGACAGAGTAACTATTAATCCCTATAGAATAATAATGAGATATCATGAGAATTAAAATTAAATATTGTACACTAAGAGGCAAAGCAAGCTGGTTCAATAATCACTTCCAAAAGGATAAATAGATGGAGAGGGAAATGGTTTATGAACAAGAGGTGAGACTAAAGGGACAGCATTTTCAAAATTTAACGTAGGTACAATGGGCTGAATGGCCTTTCTCTGCATAATTCTGTGACCCAACATGACCAGTGCAACCCAGGTCCTCTTTAGACAAATTGTCCAGTGTAAGAAAACTGAAAGAAAGCACCATTTTTTGTACAATGGATTATTGTTAATATTGAATTGAATTACACATCTACATCCACACCACTCCAATCAATGGCAGGTATCCAGCAGTCAGAAGTGGAGGATAATTAGTTCTCACAGCAATCATGATATTTCTGTGACAACAATTGAAAACATTATTGTAGGGAACTATAGTGTGACATAATAACTGCAGACCCTGAGCGGAATTCCATTTGCTGGTGAGGAGTATATATACTGTGTACGAGTATATCTGTAGGTGTCTCTGTGGGTGTCTGCGTGTCTCCTAGGTAAAGACCATTAGAGGCTGTTTTCACATCACACTATTTTGGGCCCCACTATTAATTACCATTAAATGCAAATGCAATCATGTTAAAGAAAGACTTGCATTTATATAGTACCTTTCATCATTATTAGAAACGCAGGTTCCTTTAAGGGTCAACCAGAAGCTAATGTCTAATCAACCTGCTCAGAGATGTTAATACACGTCCATGGCAGGTGGGACTTGAACCCAGGCCTCCTGGATCAGAGAGAGGGGCATACCACTATGCCACAAGACACCCAGGGTCAACTAGAACAGCCCCAGAGTTGATGGTGAGCAGGTTATGCTTATTGGTACTGAAGAATTGGGTTTTCAGTCGTAATTTGTTAATTATTTAAGTGGTCAAATGGATGATTTAGTGGTGGTTTGTTTTTGAAAAACAAACAGCTGGGCTCTTCATTAGCCTAGAGGGAATGCATTTACGGAGAGGGGGGAACGTTTAAAGGAGATGCGAATGGCAAGTTTTTTTTACACAGAGGGTGGTAGGAATCTTCGAACTCGCTGCCAGGGGCGGTGGTGGAGGCAGATATGACAGGGGCGTTAAAGGGACTTGTGGATAAGCACATGAATATGTACGGAATGGAGAGATATGGACCGAAGGCAGGCAGAAGGTATAGGTGTAATTTGGCGTCATGTTTGGCACAACATCATTGACTGAAGGGCCCATTCCTGTGTTGTACAATTCTATGTTCTATGTTCTACCAACAGGTCCAGGCAGCAGTTGGTGCAGGGGTCATAATTTGTAACTGCCTACCTCTCTTCTACAGTTACATGTGTGCATTGGTTCTTTGGAAAGGCAGCACAAGGTGTTCACCAATAGCCTTGAAGCTTTCAGAGTCAGATGGGTATGAGTGGGGCTGGTGTGCGTTAACTCCCTCACTAAAACCATTTTGCTGCAGTCGCTCCCTTGCTTTCTCCCTTTACGATTGTTTTTGTTATTGTCATGTTGACCTTGGTGGGCAGTGTTGGTAATTGGCTGATTGGGTGATTTGGTAATGGGTCATTAAAATATTAGAAGAGCTGGGTTCTTCCCCAGTTGGGGGAAAAGAATTTAGTGGTGCCTTTCTTTGTTTTAAAAAGAAAGCGAAGTTTTCAGCAATCCAGTGCGACTGTAGAATATTGTGGTTCAATTACAGCTGCAACTGTCTATTCTATGGAGATCTGCAAACTATGGGCCAGCTATACCCAAGATATAGAAGGTTGCAACCCCTTTTTCTTCACTTTAAAAATATCTTTTGTTACTCTTTTGGTCGTACTGTAGCCCCATGCTCCTAAATCTTTAGGCACTCCGTGCAGATATGCGATGGGTCAGTCAGGAGAGCTCCTTGTGGAACAACTTCTAACCTGCCCAGAGTCACCATCAATAGATCAAGGTAGTGGGTCACGTAGAGGGAGAGTCTCAATCCCCAGCTGTCTGCCTCTCTTTTGTGGTTATGTCCATGCCTATGTGTCTTTGAAAAGAAAGGATGCAAAGTCCACTGATATCCTTGAAGGTTTTCAGAATAGATGGGCAGCAAAGGGGCTGAAATGCATTATTTCGTCTTCCTGTCATATTTTGATTTAGACCACACCCCTACACACTATTTTCTACCTTTGAGTTTCCTTTGTGCTGGTTATCATCACATCATCCTTCAAAGTCAGTAGTTTTTCTTGTTTGTTAAAGAGCTGGGTTCTTCTCCAGTTGAAATTGGCTTCTGGACAGGAAGGAGGTCCAGAAAGGGAAGGTGAAAACTGGTGTTTGTGCTAAACTGCAAATTTTAAGTACCACCCTTATAAATCTCTGAAAGACTTTTTCTGCCTAATTTATCATATGGATATCAGTCTGTGGAACACCTTTCACAACCTCAGAATACTTCAAGCGCTTTTGAAGGTAGTTGCTGCTGCAGGAAATGCAACAACCATTTTTATTGCACAGCAAGATCTCACAAGCTGCAATGTAATAGTGAGTATATGTAATCTGTTTAATTGGTGTTGATTGATAAATGTTTGCCAGGGTGAGGTAAGCTCTTCTAGTCTTCCTCAAAATAGTGCGAGAGGATCTTCCATGCCTACTCAGTAAAGCAGGTGGAGCAACAGCTTTAACATCTCATCTGAAAGATAGCCCTTCTGATGGTGCAGCGCTCAGTCAGCACTGCATCAGTGTGTGAATGTTAATTTAGATTGCCAGTCATTGGAGTTGGAGTCAAATCTCATAATATCTTGGTACAAAGGCAAATGTTCTAAAAACTAAACCCCAACAGACACCACATACTGCATGGTCTTGATACGAATACTGCAGACCCCATCACAAATCAGTCAAGGATGCCCACACTGCTGCGAGCTCTTGTTAAGCATTGTGAACGAGGAATGATATGCCTGCTAAATTTCCCAAGTGTTACTCACCTCAGTCTCAGAGACTGGTGTTTGGTCAATTCCTTTGGTTATAGAGGCCCAGGATCTGGCAGTCAGCATGCAGGCAAACAGTGGGTACAAGTCCCCAGCCCCCAGCCGCCGGCTGTATATCTCGATGCCTTTCATATCGGTTCTTATCAGAGAATGCCACAAGCGGCAATAGTCGAGGCGGAACTCTTCTGTCAAGTTCTGGATAAAGCCAAGAATAAAACAGCAGTCAAGAGAAAGAGGCAATAATTAGAAGTGAGCACAGTTTAGCTACTGAAGAGTTAAGAACATAAGAACTAGAAGCAGGAGTAGGCCATCTGGCCCCTCAAGCCTGCCCCGCCATTTAATAAGATCATGGCTGATCTTTTTGAGACTCAGCTCCACTTACCCGCCCACTCACCATAACCCTTAATTCGTTGAGGTTGGTTGGCTCGCCGAGCTGGTTTGTTGTTCCGCATACGTTTCATTACCGTGCTTGGTAACGTCCTCAGTGCAGCCTCTGATGAAGCGTCGGTGTGTTTTCCCGCCTGGTTTTTAAACTCTGGGGTCCGTTGCGATGGATTGCTTCACTTCCGGGTTTCCTCCGTAATGGAATGTATATGGGATCGAATTCAATGTGTTTATTAATAGCATGCTTCGTGGAGTGCCATGCTTCCAGGAATTCTCATGCCTAGCCTGTCCCAGGATCTTGGTGTTGTCCCAGTCGAAGTCGTGGTTCTCCTTGTCCATGTGGATTGAGATGAGGCTACAAAAAGACACGACCAATACTCACTTATCTCAATCCACATGGACAAGGAGAACCACAACTTCGACTGGGACAACACCAAGATCCTGGGACAGGTTAGGCAGAGACAAGCACGAGAATTCCTGGAAGCATGGCACTCCACGAAGCATGCTATTAATAAACACATTGAACTCGACCCCATATACATTCCACTACGGAGGAAACCCGGAAGTGAGGCAATCCATCGCAACGGACCCCAGAGTTTAAAAACCAGGCAGGAAAACACACCGACGCTTCATCAGAGGCTGCACTGAGGATGTTATCAAGCACGGTAACGAAACGTCTGCAGAATAACAAACCAGCTCGGCGAGCCAACTAACCTCAACACCCACAACCCGAGCTACAGATCTACTCCAAAACCTTAGAACCCTTAATTCCTTTACTGTTCAAAAATTTATCTAGCCTTGCCTTAAAAACATTCAGCGAGGTAGCTTCAACCACTTCACTGGGCAGGGAATTCCACAAATTCACAACTCTTTGGGTGAAGAAGTTCCTCCTGACCTCAGTCTTACATCTGCTTCCCTTTATTTTGAGGCTATGCCCTCTAGTCCTAGTTTCACCTGCTAGCGGAAACAACCTCCCTGCTTCCACCTTATCTATTCCCTTCATAATCTTATATGTTTCTATAAGATCTCCCCTCATTCTTCTGAATTCCAATGAGTATAATCCCAGCCTACTCAGTCTCTCCTCATAATCCACTCTCTCAACTCTGGAATCAACCGAGTGAATCTCCTCTGCACCCCCTCCAGTGCTAGTACATCCCTTCTCAAGTAAGGAGGCCAAAACTGCACACAGTACTCCAGGTGTGGCCTCACCAGGACCCTATACAGCTGCAGCACAGCCTCCCTGTTTTTAAACTCCATCCCTCGAGCAATGGCAGACAAAATTCCATTTGTCTTTTTAATCACCTGCTGCACCTGCAATCCTACTTTTAGCGATTCATGCACAAGGACACCCAAGTCCCTCTACACAGCGGCGTGCTGCAATTTTTTACCATTTAAAACATAGTCCATTTTGCTGTTATTCCTACCAAAATAGATGACCTCACACTTATCAACATTGTACTTCATCTGCCAGACCTTTGCCCACTCACTTAGACTATCTATATCCCTCTGCAGACTTTCAGTGTCTTCTGCACACTTTGCTCTACCACTCACCTTAGTGTCATCTGCAAATTTTGACACACCACACTTAGTCTCAAACTCCAAATCATCTATGTAAATTGTAAACAATTGCGGTCCCAACACTGATCCCTGAGGCACACCACTAGCCACTGACCGCCAACCAGAAAAACACCCATTTACCCCTACTCTTTGCTTTCTACTGGTCAACCAATCCTCTATCCATGCCAATACATTACCTGTAATACCGTGGAACTTTATCTTATGTAGCAGCCTTTGGTGTGGCACCTTGTCAAATGCCTTCTGGAAATCCAGATACACCACATCCACAGGTTCCCCATTGTCCACCATGCAAGTAATGTCCTCAAAGAATGACCTACCCTTCATGAACCCATGCTGGGTATTCCCAATGGGACGATTTATATCCAGATGTCTTGTTATTTCTTCCTTAATGATAGATTCAAGCATTTTCCCCACTACCGAAGTTAAGCTAACTGGCCTATAGTTACCTGCTTTTTGTCTACTTCCTTGATTAAGAATCACAGAATTGATCCAGCATAGGAGGAAGCCATTTGGCCCATTGTGTCTGCACCAGTTCTTCACATGAGAATATTACTTATTGTCAATCTCCTGTTTTTTATTTTTGTTTCTGTACCCTTGCACATTACTTGCATCCAAGTAACAATCCAATGCCCTCTTAAATGCCTCAGATGTACCTGCCTCCACCAGAGCTCCAGGCAGAACAAACACTTATATTTGCTCCTATTTTCACATCACTTTAAGCCTGTGCCCTCTGGTTCTTGATCCTTTTACGAATGGAGACAGATTTTCCCCATGTATTTGATCAAGTCCTGCTCCTGATTTTGAAATCCTTAATCAGATCTCCTGTTCCCCTTCTTCTCTCCAATGTGAACATTCCCAACTTTTTTCAATGTATCCTCATAATTTAAGTTCCTCAACCCTGAAACCAGTCTTGAAAATCATTTCTGCATTCTCTCCAATACTTTCACATCCTTCCTATAATGTGGAGCCCATAACTGTATACAATTCTCCAGCTGAGGTCTAACAGGTATCTTTCTACCAATAGGGGACTCTGCTTTATGCATATACCTAGGGTTGCCAGCTATAATAAAATCTATTCCTGGAGATGAAATCACATCCCTTGGCCTGCACTCCAGCCATTCAGCCCATGGCCAGCACATCCATTCTTGTGACACACTGTCTTTCACCATCGATAGGCAAGCAATGAGACTTTTTACTAAATAGGGTGATGCTTGACTGACAGTTCAAAAGGCATTTGTTTCCCTATGTTCAACATTTTTACAACTGGTATAGCAAAATGTTTAAAAATAATGTTTTTTTTTTGTAATTTTCTTCAATGCGCCTATGATTTATTTCCACTGCTGTGCACACTGTAGTGTCTTGGGAGACTGCCCTCTGACACTGGGTCAATTCTGAAGAGTGAGCAAACCTAGATGTAATATGTCTTTGAATCTTTATATAGAATTTACTGCACAGAGCGACTCAGCTCAACTGCTACTCAATCCATCTGGTTCACTAATATCCTTTAGGGAAGGAAACTGCCATCCCCACCTGGTCTGGCCTACATGTGACTCCAGACCCACAGCAATGTGGTTCACTCTTAACTGCCCTCTGGGCAATTAGGGATGGGCAATAACTGCTGCCTCGTCAGCAACCCCTCATCCCGCGAATGAATAAAGAAAAAAAAACAAAAACTGGTCTCTGCTGTTGGGGACAATAAGAGGGTTTCAGCCGAAAACGTTGACTTTCCTGCTCCTCTGAAGCTGTCTGACCTGCTGTGCTTTTCTAGCCTCACATCTACAGACTCTGGTTTAGGCTGTTGTTTGCACAGTCTAACTCTCTCACCATCTCCTTTGTGCCTTGTGTACTCTCCTGTAAAGATAACTTCCCTATTTTCCTCAACCACTCCACATAGCAGGTGATTACACATTCGAACCAATCTTTCAGTTAAATAAAGGTTTCTGGTGAATTCTTAATCAGATTTATTAGCGAGTACCTTATATTGATGGCATTTAATTTTAATTTATTCCATCTTCCCTACACTTGTATCAACCTAAGGTGTTCATTTTAAATACAAAACAGATGACAAATCTGCTGCAGCAGCATTAGCAGAACAAAGATGCAGACTTTTCCGGATCAGTGAACATCACATCATTTTCAATAGAGATGCAAATATCAAACACAATGCAAACAGATTCGACGCAAACATGATTATTTCTTCGGTTGTTATTTTTGTATCTTAACGCAGGTCAAAAGGTGAAAAGTTTGCATTAGCTGATAGTAGTATTGGAACAGACCAATAGGGAGTTCAGCTGAAAACTCATCAACTGAAAACACAATTTGAGCTTGAATATGGGTAAATCCAAAACTATACGATGACTCATGAAAGAGTGGTCAATCAATGGAAGAGATTCCCTGAGATGATGAAGGAGGCTGCTCGTTTGATTCAGAAAGTAACATTTTGGAGTCGAGTATGTGACGAATTTGAGACAAGGTATATGACGAGTGTTCAGAATTGGGAAAGTTTATATATTTTGCTTTCAATGTCTACCCCGCTCTCACTTTCACCTGGTCCATCACTGATGACTCCCTTCCCTTCCTCAACATCTCTGTTTCCATTTCTATGGATAGACTGGTCATCACTATCCACTACAAACCCACCGAATCCCACAGTTATCTTGACTACATATCTTCACGTCCTGCTTCATGAACAGGCTCTGTTCCATTCTTGCAGTTCCGCCGTCTCCTTCGCATTTGTTCTAATGGTGCCAACTTTGACAAGGGAGCCTCCAAAATGTCCATCTTCTTCCTCAACTGAGGATTCCCCAGCACCATTGTTCACAGGGCCCTTGGCTGGGTCCAACTAATCTCCCACACTTCAGCCCTCACACCTTCTCTTCCATCCCACAACAACGATAGGTTCCCCTTGTCCTCACCTACCATCTCACCAGCATCCATGGGATCATTAGCTGCCATTTCCGTTAACTCCAGTGGGATGCCTCATTGTTAGCTTTCTGCAGGGACTGTTCCCTCCAGGAAACCCTATTCCACTGCAGGGACATCCATGTCCCACAAATGAACAAAGAAAAGAACAAAAATGGCCACACCTGTCAATCCACCATTGTAGAGCTTGAAAACATGAGGTGGGGTGTGTTGTGTGTGTGTGTTGTGCGTGTATTGTGTATGTGTGTTGTTTGTGTTTTGTGCATGTGGGTTGTGTATGTGTTCTGTGTATTTTGTGTGTGTTGTGTGTG